TGTGTGTGTGAGTGTGTCTAATATACCAAACAACGTATCAGATTCACGCTTTTAAATTTAATTAAGTAAATCGAATTAGCTCATGTCAATCACATTGTTTGTTAGGATCTTTCATCCATGTTTTGTTTGCCTCTTCTTTTTTTAAATTGAAAATTTTAAGTGAAAAATTGTAAGTACAGTTAAGAAATTAGTAAAAAAAAATAACTCTCTCTCTCTCTCTTCCTCAATTTTTCTCTTTCTCTCTTTATATATATATATATAAAGAGTGTGTGTGTGTGTGTGTATGTGTGCACATGTGCACATTTGTTTGTTGTTTGTGGAGGCCTCTTCATTAGTTATTGCGATTTAACATTTGACAATTAACCAGCCAGCTGGCAAAATCGTACTTTCACAACTACCACCACCACCACAACTAGCAATAGTAATTATAATGAAGAAAACAGCAGTAACTATGAGAGAGGAGAAAACATGAAAATAAGGAAAGAATAAATAAAAGTATCATGATATATGTATGTATGTGAATAATATGAAATAAGAAAGTATCATGATATATGTATGTAATTAATAGAAAAAAATAAGAAAGTATCATGATATATGTATGTAAATAATAGGAAAGAATAAGATAGTATCATGATATATGTCTGTATATAATAGGAAAGAATAAGAAAGTATCAAGATATATGCATATATATTTCTGTATGTACACATGTATGTACACAATCATCAGTCATTTATAGCTAACATTTTTATTTTAAATGTTAATACTACACTGTGACATATGCAGCATTGACATAATACTGTTACTACACAAAACTTATTAATATTATTGTTATATGTGGGTGCTATTAATGCTCCCTAAATGAATAAAGAGAGAATAGCAAGTGAAGTAACTTGATGACGGATTGAAGATGTCCCCACTGAATAGGATGAGTGGATTCAAGTGCTGCAGATGATGAATGGCAGTTGTGAACCTGGCAGCCCCGCCTACAGGCTCCTGCTTTCGTGATTCTACATTGTAAACGTCGTTGAAATGTATCAAGTAAAGTTTTTTGATGTTGCAAGCTGAGGGGTCCACGCTACTACCACTGTTGATTGAAAGTTGCTGAAGAACATCTAGAACGGTTTTTTTACTGCATTCATCTGCTGCTGATGATTCGATTGGAGACATCTTTTTCGAATTATTTGTTGAAGAATCATCACCGTTGTGAGGGTGTGAATTAGTTGTAATGTTAGGAGACATGAATGAAGTTGGAGTTGACGTCTTGGGGGTCGAGGTGGCCTCCCCATCCTCCTCTTCAGGTAAATCGACGGATGTCATTTTGTGCAAGTTACGCATTGAGTTAACGCTTGATTGCCTCTTCTCATCCATCGCCATATCCCACAAGTATATTTATTTTTGTCAAGTTTCCTAAAGTAAAAAATTAGAAAAAAATGCAAAATAACGCTTTTAAAAATTTTACGATTTATAAAATTTCAGCTTAACCATATTTTTGTTCTATTCTCGTCTGCTACAACAAAAAAAACCGTAAAACCTTGAAGTTATTCGTTCAAAGTTATTTATATTGTGGCTAAAAGTTAACTAGATAAGAAACAAATTTTATTAATTATTTGGCGCCTAGGTTTGAAATAAATACTAAATCTTGAACCCGCAAATTAACTAATTACCGCAGTTTATCCATTATAATATACTTGCACATAGGGATCTCTATGTATTCAAATTTATATTACGTATATCCTTAAACATCTACATATTCTTATTCATATCCACACAAACATACATTTACCTTAGGATAAAAATAATAGTTTTAGAATAATAATATTAATAATACGCATATATATATATATATATATATATATATATATATATATATATATATATATATATATATATATATAAGTTGCTAAGTACAAATACATATGATTTATGGAATTTTGATTGAATTTTGAACCAGTATATAAAAGGCGTTGTGGTGGAAAAAGGCTGAGATTCAGTTTTGCTGGTTTCAACAATACTGAAGTTTTGGCAAGGAAGGACGATTAAGGTAACAAAATTAGGCATTTTGAATCATTTACTCAACTTATCTTCAACTAAATTTCGTTCCTTTGACATTCTTCTCGTCATTAAGATCTAGTTTTATTCAAGATGTAAAACATTTTCGATGAATGAAGTGACAAAAGTGATAATTAACGTACGAAAAATCATGATAATTTAACTTTTGTTGAAAATAATTGAAGAGTTTATAGATTTTTTTTCCAATTGAGATTGAAACTATCTCATATAAAATAACTCATTTTTCGAATAACTAACTTAATGTAACAAATTTTCGATAAAATTTTTATTTTTTCAGATAAATTGGAGAGAAAACGAGATAGAGCAATCGTCCTAAGGAAATAAATTGCGTTTTTTTTCATTTAAATATTAAAAAATTAATTTAAACATTTTTCAAAGAATAATTTTCAGAAAAAGAGAAAACTAATAAGTTGTGAAAACTACATCAAGAGATTAATGTAAGTTTATGTGATGATGATAAAGTAGGTAATTATTATTATTATTATAATTATTTACTCTTATTATTAATTATATATATATATATATATATATATATATATATATATCATTAATTCTATTTATGTCTGTTTAAACTTGTTAGTTTTCAAATATTCCGGTTTATTAGAATTGACATCGATAAAACCATTCTTAAATAATGTTGACGATGAAGTTATTATAATTAATGAGATAATTGAATCGGTATTAATTAATCGACACGTTACAATGGCTAATATGAATTATGATTTGAATTAAATTATAACTGAATTAAAATTAATTAATTGAATAAAGAAACGTTTCCAGTATGGCGAAATCGCCAAGAATCGTCTTTCCATTCGTTCTTATCACACTGTCAATTCTCGGAAGCGGTTAGTTCTTTATGACGATGATGATGACGATGATGATGATGATGATGATGAGGGCGATGATGATAATTATGATAATGATGATGACGATGATAATGATGATGGTGGTGAAGATAACGACGATGACGATGATGTAGCTGATGATGATGATGACGATGATGTTGGTGGTGATGATGATAATAATGGTGATGATAATTATGATAAAAATGATGAAGATGATGACTTTGTAATAAGAAATAGCACGACATTTATGATAAAAATGATGAAGATGACAGTTAAAAAATGTGATGATGATTTCTGTTAATTTTTGGCCTAAATTTTTAAAAATGTTTTATATAATGAGTACCATTAAATTGTTTTTTTTATTATCATTGTCATCGTGTGTCTTTTATTATCATCATAAGCCTATTATTTGGCCTCTGAACTATCACTTTCATCATCATTGTCATCATCGTCGTTGTCATCATTATCTACATCATCACCTTCACCATCATCATACTATTACTACTACTACTACTACTGCAATAATAATAATAATAAAAATACTAAAAATAGTAAAAATAATAATGGTAACTTATAGAAATAATAACAAACAAACAAACTCGACAAGTAACCATAAGAATTATAAAAATAAATGAATTAAATCATTAAAGAGGTGTAATAAATTAACTATTTGCCATAGATCATCTTTTCCTAGTCTAAAGTCTTTAAGGACTACCAATGTAAAACTATTTAATAAATTAAGCTTGCGCCATTATTTTTCCATTCGTGGTGTTGTCGTTGTTGGTGTTGTTGAAGTTCATTCTTCAATGTTGATGTCGTGGATGCTTTTGTTGATGTTGTTGTTGTTAATGTCAGTGACGTTGATGTTTTTTTGTTGTCGTCAATGTTGGTGATGACGTGTTTGTCGGTGTTGTTGATGTCGTCACTTCTGTTGAGGTCACGAGATGATGATGTTGCGGTTTTTGTTGTCGTTCAATTTTGTTACAGATGTTGCTAATGTTTTTTTTACACTGTTGTTGATGCTGTTGTTGTTGATGTTATTGTAGTTGTTGATGCTGTTGTTGTTGTTGATGTTGTTGTTGTTGTTCTTCTTCTTGATGTTGTTTTTGATGTTGAAGTCGTTGTCAGTTACATAGTTGTTGTTCATACCGAAATACAAACTCCAATGATGGGTGCAACGAACACACACGTAGTTGTGAAAGAAGATAGATAGAGAGATAGAGAGAGAGAGAGAGAGAGAGAGAGAGAGAGAGAGAGAGAAAGAAAGGGAGAAAGATGAAGAGAAAAAAGGGGAGAGTGAGAGAGTGTAAGAGAGAGAAAGAGATAGAGTGAGAGGGGAGTAATTAAATTAGATAACAAGGTTAAAAGTGTGAATAGTTAGATAACAAGAAAACAACAGAGTGCATTACAGGGAGCAAGAGTGAAAGAAAGAAAGAGAGAAGGAGAGAGATAGAGAGTGAAAGAGAGAGAGAAAATTTAAAGCGAGAGAGGGAGAGAGAGATGAGAAAAAAAAATTATTGTTTTTAGTCGTCTTTTAATTGGAATTGAAAAGTTCAAAGCTCATTGACAGCATCCCAGGTGGCTGAGCTGTCGTAAAAATTTTTAATTAAGTGCCTTCGTCAATGTCATTATGTCGTTATCATCATTTTTATCATTTTCTTCTTTTTTTCTTCATCATCATCTTCATCGTCGCCATCATATTCTTTTTCATCATCATCTTCTTCTTCCTCATCATCCTCATCTTCTTTTTTATCTTCTTCTTCACCATCATCATCGTCTTTTTCATCACCATCATCATCTTCTTCAACATCTTCTTCTTCATCACCATCATCTTTTTCTTCGTCATCTACGACATACTAGTTAATCATTGTTAATGTCATCGTCACCATAACGCCATCAAGTTGATTGTGGACCAATTTATCAACATCTATATCATTTTCTTCACAACCAGCATTATTGTCAGAAGGAAAAAAGCATCGTCATCACAATTGCCACCACAATCATCACTATTATCTTTTTCATCACCATCATCATCATTATCATCATCACTGTCATAATCGCCATCATCACCAATCATCATAATTTTCATCATCATCATCTCTATCATCCTCTCTATCATCATCATCATCATCATTATCATCATCATCACCACCATCATCATCATCAGCGTTTTCCTCGCCGACCAGAGTTGCATCAAGATCGTCGGAAGATGCCCCCGTGATTAAATGCATGCAAACATGCTCAGGTAAATTTTTATCATATCTAGTAGTTGTAGAAGTAGTAGTAGTAGTAGTAGTAGTAGTAGAAGTAGAAGTAGTAGAAGTAGTAGTAGTAGTAGCAGCAGCAGTAGTGGTGATAGTAGTAGTAGTAGTAGTAGTAGTAGCGGTAGAAGCAGTAAATCTTATTCATTGAAACATTCAGTTGTGGTTAATTGGTTTATCATATTCTTAGTACGTAGTATAAAATTAAAACTTAAAAAATTTATGAATACATCTTATTTGAATTATCTGAAATAATAAAATAAAATTATTAATTACGCTTTAATCTATCTCTAAAAACAATTTCACAATTCATCTTCATCGCAGCCGCGCAGAAGAACATAGACTTCGCGAAAGGATCGTCATATGAATACAAGTTAGAAATGGAAAATATTTTTTTGGGGTTTATTCAGGGACGAAATACTTATAGAGGTGGGGTGGGTCTGCAAATTATGACACCCTGACCAAACACTACAAGGGAAAACATTTTCACGTGTGAATTCATTGAAGGGTGAAAGTTATCTCGGGAGAGTAAAAAGTTTTAAGAATTGGGCAAAAATATTTATAGAGTTAAATTATTTAAAAGACCTTTATTAAAGTGGAACTTTTTGATGAAACTATCCAAGGCGATTAAAAATTATGGGTTGGGATAAAGTTTAAAGGGCGTACAAAAATCTGGCAATCAAGCAAAAAGTTTTGCTAAGATAGGGGGAGTGCTTTTACAATTTACTTTTGAATTTTCATCATCGTCGTTGTCGTCATCATCGCCATCATCATCAGCTAGAACATTATCGTCATCATCATCTTCATTTCAAGATATGAAGGAATGATCAAAACGACTGGTAATGCGACGAAAGCCGTTGAAGTGAAGATGGTGACCACAGTCGTCATTGAAGTCGTCGATTCTTGTGAGCTGGTGCTCAAGGTGAGTGAGTGAGCGAGTGAGTGAGCGAGTGAGTGAGTGAGTGAGTGAGTGAGTGAGTGAGTGAGTGAGTGAGTGAGTTTGTGAGTGAGTGAGTGAGGGAGTGAGTGAATGAATGAACGAATGAGTAAGTGAATGAGTGACTAAATAAATGAACGAACGTATTCCCTCAAGTACACGCATAATTACAAAAAAAAAACCTCAAAAACACCGCAGCTGCAAGAATCGAAACTCTTCGACTCGGACCCAAATGAAGAGTCCGGCTTAGTACAATCTCCAATGTCGGAAAAGTTTGCCAGTGCAATCGAAGTTTGTAACTTTGATTACATTATCATTATTAATTATGCTAATTAATTATGTTGATTAGCCAACCATTGTCGTCATTTTCGCCATTATTTTTCTGTTCTATTTTTAGAAACTTCCTCTCTCGTTCTCGATGAATGACGGCACGGTGACGTCATTATGTCCATCGCCAGATGAAGAAGCATGGTCACTTAACGTTAAGAGGGGAGTTCTCTCGGCACTGCAGAGTACTTACGTGGTCAGAAACTTCACTACTGCTACTACTACTACTGCTGCTGCTGCTGCTACTACTACTACTACTACTACTACTACTACTACTCTTACTGCTACTACTACTACTTTTAGTTACTACAACTACTACCACTACTACTACTAATATACTTTTACTACTACTACTACTATTCAAATTTATTCAAATTTATTCCAACTTATTATAATTAGGATGGCGTGAGTCCCACGCCAATCGTTCGCGAGAAAGACGTCAGTGGAGATTGTACCGTCGAATACTCGGTTCTCGACGGCAGTACCGTCTCGAAAAAGAGAATGCTTGGTACTTTTTGTTATTATTATTATTTTTATTATTATTAAACAGAATGTATATATATGTATGTGTATAGGTTTACCTTGGCCAAACGTTTACGCCAAACGAAAATTTTATATGCAAATTTTTTAATTTCACGACAATTATTTACTTCAACCTCTTTCGATAGAACGGACGATATTTCAAATTTTAAGGTCACCCATCCAAATTTTTGGCCGCGATCAACTAACGAGTTAAGCGATGATGGACTTTAAATAACGAAACGCTCCTTAATGATTTATTTGATTGCTATTATCATTGTCGTAAAAAATTTTGACGAAAAAACAAGCAATGAGAGGTTGAGTTGGCTGTTGTAAAAACATTCTACTCAACTTTTTTTCATGATGCAAGCAGTGGTTTCTTTTATTATTGATATTCTACCGGAGCGCTATTTTTATTTTCTTTCTCTTTTTCTTCTTAATATTATTATTATTATTATCATCCTCATCCTCATCGTCGTCGTCATCATTTTCAGGTTCATGTTACAACAGACAGCGCGATGATACGATGCTTCGCGGTGTTCCTTATAGAGCTGCCTCGGTTACTATTTGATGAATGGATAGATGAATGAATGAGAGAGTAGATGAATGAATGAATGAGTGAATGGATGGATTGGTAAATGGATGGATGAATGAAAGATTGATTGAATGAATGAATGAATGAATGAATGAATGAATGAATGAATGAATGAATGAATGAATGAAAAAATGAATGAACGAACAAACAAATTAAAGAAAGAATAAATAATTAATTAAATAAATGCAATATATTATTGTCATCATAATTAAAAGTAATTACAGTTAATTATATTAATTACTATTATTTGCCATGTCAGCCGACCCAAAACTTCCAAGTCCTAGATAGCAGTCAGGAGTGCCAGCAGACGTTCGACCGGTCTAGACGTCTGCTAAAGAGCACAGTCTGCACTGAGAAAATGACCTACAAGCCGTTGTTGGACGACAAGAGTGGAATGACCACTGATGTCCGGTCTACTTTGACCCTCGTTAAAGAGTCAAGGATGTCTAGTGGTAATTATTATTATGATGATAATAATAATAATAATAATAATTATTAATAATAATAATTATTATTATTATTGTTATGATTTTTATTCACAAATTGGTAGTTTTTTTGGTTATGAGATGGGATTTTTGGTGCATGGTTCTTTCGTTTCGTTATTTGAAATTTTTAAAATAATTTATTTCAATAATTTAATATAATAATTATTATATATTTTGAATAATATTTGATTTTTTTGAATGGATAGTTTGTAAACAACTAAATGATCAATTTGGCGGGTGGATTTAATGAGTTGTCATTTTTAATTATTATGTTGTCACATTATATGCCAACGAAAACTGCTTGTATGTTTATCAATGTTTTTTTTTCAAAAATTTCTCGTCATTTCTCTTGTTTTATTTTTTTTATTTATCTCTCCCTTTCTCTCCCTCTTTTTTTTAATTTTCATTAACTTATTCTTTGATTCCCGATTTATCTTATTTTAATTTATTCAAAAATTCCTACACGGCAAAAACCAACAACAGCCTTGAGGATATCGACCAAGAGGATTAGGTCCTCCCTCTTGTATGATCACAGAGCTGACCATTTCGAGTACAACGAGTACTTCAACAATGCCCACCAGACCTTACTCCAGCTGAAAAATCAAAACACCATTAGTGGCGCCACTCCTACTGCTTTCGTTACTCTGGTCAGACAGATGAGGAAATTGAGTTTCGATGACTTGAAGCGGCTTGAATCTACTGTGTCAGATGATAGGACAAAGTTTGTATTGTGCCTTTGTCGGTATTTTATTTTCTCTCTCTCCATCTTCACCTCAATCACTTTACACATTCTTGCCAACGTCATTCATCACTTTACTGTTTCTCAATCCATATCACCCATATGATGAGTTCATCGTCATCGTTCTACTCAACTTTCTCGCCATCTTCCTACTCACTTACTCACTTGTCATTGCCACAAGGAACTACCTGTACGACGCAATCTCCGTGCTGCAGACGACAGCCAGTGTCACATTCAGACGCCACTACTACGACAAAGTCGACCGAACGAGAAAAATGGCCTGGCTAACTTCACTGATGTTCATTAAACATGTCACTGATGAGATGCTTTCAGAGGCTGAGGTTTGTGGGGCTGGTCTATTCTTTAGAGAAAAAATGGAATGAATGAATGTATGACGGAAGTTTTACTTAATTTATATTTGACTAGTTTGTACATTTAATCGATTGCTTTTCATCATTCATTTATTTATCCATTAGTTCGTTTGTTCGCTTATTTTTTATTTACTAATCCATCCATTTATTCATTGATGCATTCATTCATTCACCTATTCATTCAATCATTCATTCACCCCAGGGCCTATTAAAAGAGCATTACGAAGAGTCGGTTCTCTTTGTAAGCTCCCTCCTACACAACTACTACGTCCAACACAAATCCAACAAAGAACTCATCCACGTCAGAAGTATCATGTCCGAAATTCTCGTGAACGTCAAGTTAGGAATGATGACGTCATTCGTTGTTGTTGATGTTGTTGTTGATGTTGTTGTTGTTTATTTGGTTTCGTTATTGTCGTCGTCGTGATTATTTTAAGCGCTGCTGTTATTGCGAGTGAATTTTTATTATAATTGATATTTTTACATCGACTCTAAACAAAAACGACCTACAAAGGTGAAAACCAACCGAGAAACATGAACAAACATACGCACATAGAATATCAACAAAACCTCCACACACACACACACACACACACACACACACACACACACACACACACACACACACACACACACACACACATACATACATACATAAACACAAACAACATTCAACACAAACAGCAAACAGAAAAATAACAAAACACACACACACAAAACAAACCACAGAAGCAACTGCAGAAAGCAAAATCTGGACAAACAAACAAAAGCAAAACTCTTGAAGGCCATGAAAGCCCTTGGAAATGTTGGTATCTTCGATCAGGTCACATTCAGCACCATCAAAGAATGTGTACAGGATGTCAGTGTAGAACACTCGATCAAAGTGGCAGCTTTAGAAACTTTCAGAAGACAGAAATGCCACCAGCCTGTTGTGAGTTTACGATTATTAGTTCAGTAATTTACCATGAAAAATTTGCCTAATTTAATGGCATAATTCAAAAATTTTGAAATTTTCTGCCTAATTTAATGGCATAATTCAAAAATTTTAAAATTTTCTGCCTAATTTAATGGCATAATTTAAAAATTTTAAAATTTTCTGCCTAATTTAATGGCATAATTTAAAAATTTTGAAATTTTCTGCCTGATTTAATGGCATAATTCAAAAATTTTGAAATTTCCAATCGCTTCTTTCACACTCCACGCAAAATAGATGGACTTCCTTGAGAAGATAACCTGGAGCAAGGAAATGGACAGCGAGCTACGCATACAGGCCTACCTGCAAAGAATGAGGTGTGCAGATGAGAAGTTCCTCAAGGGGATGCTACAGGATAAATTGGAGAAAGAACAGTCTCAGCAGGTAATGGGGACGACGAGTATGAAGATGATGATGGGGAAGATGAGTGTGGAGAGGAAGAGGATGATGAAGATGATGATGTTGGTGGCGATTTCGATGATGGTCGTTATGATAATTATGGTGATAGTGGTTATGATGATGGTGTTAACTGCAATGTTAAAGTTATCAGTACGATCAGAAAAATTATCATCACCAATTTACTTTCCTAATCATTATCTTATTATCATGATTTTCAATGCCATCATGTCATAATTACTCATTATATTATCACAATCTGACCATCACACGGTGTCATCATCACCTCATCTTTCTCACTCACTCAACGATGCAGGTTGGATCGTTCATCTACTCTCATCTTATGAATCTTGCAAACTCCGACAGTCCAATGAAGGAAACTCTCTCCAGGTACCTTCAAGACCATGACGTTGTCGGAAATTTCGAGAAGTTCAATTTGGATTTCCGGAAGTTCTCCAAAAATATTGACTACTCCTCGTTCGACGATGACGTGTGTTATATTTTTAAATAATTTTTATAAATGTTTTATTTTTTAATATTAATTAATTGCCAATTTTACAAATTTCAATATTAAAAGCACGTTAGTGGGGCTAGGTGGTTGCCACCATCATCAGCATCATCTCATTATCATCATCTTATCATCACTCTTGTAACTTATCATCATCTTGTAACATCATCATCTTATTATCACTCTTGTAACTTATCATCATCTTATAACATCATCATCTTATCTTTAACATCGTCATCACTTCATCAGTACAGTAACTCGTTTACGATTTTTACAAATACAAATTAAGTAATGGCTTAACGCTAAAAATTAATGTGAATTTTTTTTCAGAAAAACTTTGGAGGCTCGGTGGAGACCAATGTCATATATTCGTCAAAATCCTTTGTCCCAAGATCGGCTTCTGTCAACTTGACTATGGACATGTTTGGCACTTCCATCAATTTGTTCGAGTTCGGAGGAAGAATCCAAGGTGTAGAGGAACTGTTGGAAAAAGTTTTTTCAAACTACAACTCAAATCCAGTTAAGAAGAGTACGGCCGGAGCTGCCTTCGATGGAACTTTGAAACGTTTCGATGACGAGGTCACTTGAAGATTTGTTCAATTCTGTCATTGTCGGTGTCGGCAGTGTTAATTAGTCGACAGTTTTTGTTTCAGCTTTTCTTCGTCATTCATAATTAACACATTTTTTTATACCATCGACTTTTAAGTCGTAAATGTTTCACTTTTTGAATGACGCAGCTCTTGAAGCGCCACAAAGTTGACCACCCCGAGGCTTCGCTGTACATGAGGACCCTCGGCGCGGAGTTCTACACCGACCAATTATTCGACGTACCCGACATTGATTCCCTTAAAAACAAGTTCAACTTTTTGCCAGCGCTAATGGAATTAGCAAACGAGAAAGTTATTGAAAAAAGTTACACGAAACCGTTGGCTGATTTCCACGTGACGGTACCGACGCTAATCGGCTTGCCGGTAAAATGTTCAATGACCGGTGTTGTGTCGGTGCTGTTGAAAGCTAAAGGAGCAATCGACTTGAAGACATTTTTTACAAATAGAAACTTTGACCTCCACGGTCAGATCAGACCGAGTGCCACTGCGTTGCTGTCCGCAGAACTCGGGGTCGATACAAAGTCAGTACATGTGTACATTTCGTTCTACTAATGCTGGTAATTTAAATAAATTTCAAAATTTAATATAAACTTTGAATAAATTTTAAAGTCTTATCTTACAACAAGCTAGGTTAGAAATACAAGCTAGATTGGAAATATAAAAATTTATTAAAATTATTACCAATAGTAAAACGATATCATTCATAAACGTTCAGAGTAGTACACTGACATCTGAAAATACATTTCTTAAATACATTTTTTAAACACATTTTTTAAATACATTTTTATCAAAAATACCCAGATTGATAAAAACCGGTATTAAGAGCGCCTTGACCTTCCAGTCAAACATTGTTGTGGACGGTGCA